CTTTAACTTTGGGCGACAGATATTTTGTCTCATTGATGAGAAAAGTGACTAAGACACCTATGTTTTAGGCAAGCAGGTGCTAGAGATGGAGACACAGGCTTTGCCTTACTGGAGTTCACATAAAATGCTGTCTTGTCATTGTGCACTAGCAAGTGTTTTTTTCTCCTTATGGTTTATGCAGCTGAGGATAAATACGAATTTCATTACATATTCTTTCCCCTCGATTTCTTGCAGAAGGCTAGAAAGGTAAGAGTATCTCTTTAGCATTCATATTTTTGAGGTAGATTAACTGTTTCAGGATTAGACTCACTATACACTCATATGCCATGAAAGGAGGTAATGTCTATAAAAGTCCTTAGCAAGCAGTATAGTGATATATAACTGTAGGATAGAGTAGTGTTATAACTGCACCATATTTTCCTGGGGGGCTGTGGCTTATGTACTTGTAAAGTACCAGAAAAAACACACAGTGTAGCTTAGCCTAAGAAGTGGTTCTCAGGAAGGGGGTTGATCCTTTTTGCCCTTGGAAACTTTTGGCAACATCTAAGATATTTTTGATTGTCATAATCTACTGGGTGGACACCAAGATGTTCCTAGGCATCTTACACAGCCCTTTATAACAAAGAAGTCTCTGGTCCAATGTGTCAGTAATGCTGATAAATCTTGACCTACAGCCTGGGACTTGGTGTGGTAGCATCAGGTAGTTGCTGCACCTAGGTGAGTCACTTAACCCGAGTATCTAGAAAATGGACATCTGCGGGGATACTGTGGAGTTAAGTGAGATAGAGTATATGAAGTGCTTAGTACTCAGCTGGTACTCAACAAATGGTCATTCTCAATATGATCTCCAGTTAGCAGATCAGGGTCAAAATTGAGGGACTTTACTTTTAAACAGACACAGCTTCGTGTGTGTGTGTGTGTGTGTGTGTGTGTGTGTGTGTGTGTGTGTGTTGTATGGGAGAGGTGTTTTGTTGTTTTGTTTTGTTTTAAGTTGCTTATCTCTTGGTATGAGACAGAATCTTGGTACACAGTCCAGCTGGCCTCAAAATTGCACCAACCCTCCTGTCTCAGACTCCAGAATTCTGGGATTAAGGCTTTCACCATGGTCATGGCTAGCTTTGGGCCTTTAACCCATTGTATACAGAAAGAATCTAAATATCTTGATCCATCCAAGTACCCAAAGGTAGGGCAGGGCATAGACGTAAGGTTCCTCCTGCATTCTGGCCCAGGTTCTATCAAACAGCTAAAAGCAGTGCACAGGTCTCACCAACCAAGTGAAGAGGATGTTCTCCAAGAGTTCTCTTGTGTAGAGGAAAGATGACTGAGGACAGAGGTGTTTTCTGTTGGATCTGGGCTGTACCTGGAATGCAGAGCACCCTCTCAACTGACCTTATCTCCCAGGATTCAAAAGATGCTTCTTATATCCTTGTGCACACAAGATCCAGGCTTCCTCAAAGCAGCAAGGAGATCTGGCAGGTTCCCTTTGTTTTTCTTAGCCCCTCATACTTGATCAAGGAGTTCTTGTAGAGGTCCCTTTACTTTTAACAAAGTACTCCAATCCACTCCATCTTTTGCTTTGCCTGAAGTTATGCTGTCATCTGGGAGAGGGATCCCAGGATTTCCTTTGGTACCCATTCCTTCTGTGCTTTCCTCACCCTCCTTGGAGCTCAGATCACCAAATCACCAAATCCGATCTTCAGCAGGGTGGGAGTGGGGCTGGGAGGGAGGCAAATTCCTGGCCACCCAAAGTTCAGGAGACAGGGATATAAATAAGTGGTATTTCAGCCTGTGAGATAGAAATGCTTAGGACTCTGTACTGGGTATACAGTAGAATCACCTGCAGCTGCCCTGTCCCACCCAAAACTGCTGTTTAGACTCTCAGTGGGTAGGGCCTGGGCATTCATTTTTAAAAATGTTAGCCGGGCTGGTGGCACAAGCCTGTAATCCCAGCACTCGGGAGGCTGAGGCAGGAGGATCGCTGTGAGTTCGAGTGAGTTCCAGGGCAGTCTGAACTACATAGTGAGACCCTGTCTCAAAAAAACAAACAAAAAAAATGCTTCTCACATTATTCTGATGCCCAATAACTGAAAGTCAAGGACCACTGACTTACGAAATTAACCACCTTCATTTAAAAACAGAGAAAAGAGAACAGAATTTAAAATATCAAAATAACATAAGTATTATTTTGTTAAGCTTTTGCATTAGTAATGGGTATATATGGTAGTTACAGGGAAGAATGTTTCTTCGAATGGGTTATAGTCAGAGAAACTTGGTAAAAAAATGTTTTAGATCTTTAGCAGTGTTTAATATTGATATATTTACCTTATAATCCCTTGTGTACACCTCTGGACAGTTTTCAAAGTGCTTTTCTATACCTTGTCAAATGTGACTTTACTATCATCCTATGAGACATAAAGTTGATATCATCATGGATTTTTAAAAAATAGATGATAAATGTACAGCTTAGAGGTAGAGTGCTTAAGAAATTTTTCAGTCACAAAGAGAAAATGGCAAACCAGGGATTCTGTCTAGATCTTTGAACTTCTGACTTAGCAGATCCTGTCACAGGCTAGCAAGGGGTCCTTGCTTTTAGTGATAATGGAAATTAAAACTAAAACAAGAATTTTCAGGGAAGCTTTAATGAAAAGTAAGAAAAAAGACAGGGAAAGGACTCCAGCTTGAGCAGAAGTGCACCATGATACAAGGGCTCAGACTGACCTGCTGACAAAAGCAGGAGGCCAGCTTTTAGAGGTTAGCAGGGCTGGGCCAAGGTCTTGATTTCCTAGCCCAGGAGAAATCTTTATGGCTTGGGGGGCAGTTCCATTCCAAGAAATGATTTTCTTTGTGACAGCCTCAGTCTGTAACTGGATGTTGTAAATGCCTGTAATTGGCTGTCCCTGTGAATCTTGGAAAATTACTTTAGTTCTTCTTGAAAGGGAATGAGACAGGCTAGGCAAATTAGTGTTAATAAACTTTGTTCTGCTAACTTTTAATTTTTTGATTAATTAATTAATTGAGACAAGGTTTCACTGTGTAGGTCAGGCTGGCCTTAAACTGATGGCGATCTTCCTGCCTCAGCTTCTTGAGTGCTGGGATTACAGGTATGTGTCACCATGCCCAGTGTGTTCTGTCAACTTTCAGGTGGATAATCCCCAAAAGACTAATAGGCCAATGTGCAGAGCTGAGATGATTTGACCTAGAGTTTTACAAAATGAAGGTCTGGCTTTATCCTACTTTTAGTGATCTATTGGGCATTTGTAGGCCCAGGTGAAGAGTCACAGTTCATATTCTCAGGTGCACCACTGACCAAGTCAGAGGAGGCTGTGTGCTTTGGTAAAATAGATTTATGCAAAGCCATCCTGAGAAGATGGAGGGGCTCATTTGCCTCAAATCACCATCTCACCATTCACAGGTGGGCAAAGGTCTAAGGAACAGGGGAGCACAGAGAGACAGTGCAGATATCGCCTCCAGCCGTCTTCAGGTTATCCTGCTCTTTCTTGTGAAAAGGAAACTGGACTCTGGTCTCCCTGGGCTGGCATCTGTGAATTCTGTCACCTCTTTTAAACTGAGCAGAGGAGAAGGTATTGGTTATGTACTCAGCAGGAGGAAGTTTGGAGAAGTTGCTTGTCTCCAAAAGAAAAAAATCTAACTTTTAAAGTTCCATTTTGCAGTGCCAGTTACAGTACCCCATCTTCCAAGCCATCTATGCTGTATATAGACTGCCGGCTTTCCTGTGTGGGGAGGACTCAATGCCATATCAGAATAGTATGAATAAATGATACTATGATGAATTTTAATAGAGGTAATGACATCAAAATTTTAAGAACACATATGGATAGGAAGTGAGGTTGACCTGGTTCATGACTTTAAACCCTGTTTCCTAGCAGTGTAGAAATCTGAGGGAGACCATATAAGTAAGGATGCTGATTGTATAGTTGTTGTTGGTCTTGAGATACAGCTTGCAGCAGAGGTGGTGACATTTATTCTTCTAGAGTAATGTAGTCAACGATGAAAAAGAGCAAAGAAGAAAAAATTCTGTATTTACAAAGAATAGAGAAGGTGGTGTTTTTCGTCAGTATCTTGAAACAATATATTTGCCCTACCTTTAGCATATGCTTTTTTGAGTCCAAGAAGTTCAAGAAAAGTCAGATAAATAGAACAGGGATACCCTTAAGCCAGTTGAGAGTGGAGATATAGGTAGATAGTACATAGTTAGATAGATTGTCTTCTGAATAGTGCCTGTAGATCATAGTTTTCTTTGAAACAAAACTTTTCATTGGTGCAAACTGTCTTTGTTCTTGGACTCATTCTAAAGTGATTGATGAGGAGGAAGTTGGGTAAGGGCGCGCATGTATGTAATCCCAGAACTCTGGGAGGCTAGTCAGATGGGTGGGAAGTTCAAGCCCAGCATGGGCAACTTAGCAAGACCTTGTCTCAAAATGAAAAATAAAAAACAGCTGGGAATGTAGCTCAGTGTGAAGGCCCTGGACTCAAGGGGGGAAAAGAGGATAATATAAAGTCAATGGTAGGGCGTAATGGCTCTCAAATTATAAAATTTATATTGAACTCGTTCCATACATCTCACCTTCGTTTCCTCCTCCTGTGCTTAACATAAAGTCATAACATTATTCCCTTGAGTTGACTGGGAACCCAAGAACTTTAGTAAGTGAAATGAGTCAGTTTTATGCACAGACTAATATAGGATCAGCTGCAGTAATAAAATGTCACACAGACAGCTTCAAGAATGTTACTGACCTGGGTAGCATTTCAGGAAGCTAGAACTGATTCATTAAATCTCAATTTGATGGAGAAGTTCCGGTCAATTCATGAGTGCTATAGGTATTTCTTGGATTGTATGGCTTTCCCCCACTCAAAACATCCTGAATGATGACATGCTCATGACATATACTTAGAGGTGCAGCCACCTTCTGACATTCTGATGTCAACTTGGAAGTCCTTTGATGATTTTTCTGTTTTGTCTTGGATCTTAACATTTTATTTATTTTTTAACATTTTAGACCTTTACAGGTAGAGTTACTTTAACATAGAAGGGAATTTGTGAGACGAGAGAAAAGGAAAGAAAACCAATGCTATTGGAACATAAAAGGAATCAGGCACCAGAGGTGGGATTCAAATAGGAATCCTGTTCGTTCATCTGTAGGGAATTTTGAGCACTTGGTAAGTACCTAACCATGTGGCAGATACTTTGAGGGATACAAAAAAAATTATATTTATAAATGTTATATATATATATATATTTCATATATAAATTTTTAAAGAGCTTGTAAGACATTGGGGCATCCAACATTTTTCTTACGAAAGAGAAAAAAACTGGACTGTTTATAACTGTGTGCCGGACCATGCATCCCTTGTAGTAGGCACCACTCAGTTTAGGACGGCATGACTTCAGTGGGATCACTTGTCACAGTATGATTCAGAAGAAACGTCCCTAGTGAGGTTTTTAAAGGGGATTATCATTTAGATGGAGAGAAGGACATTCAGGAATAGCAAAGTGACAAAATCAGAATGGTATGTGGTACTGGAGGCAATCACTTTATTGTCTCATTTTTCTTCATATTATTTGGCACCATGTTATATATCACATTGTGTCGTGGTGGTCAGCTATTTAAGAAATTTATATAAAACTGGACCACAGATTTAAATTCCCTTTTGCATTAGGATGTCTGGAGAAAGGAAAAGGAAACTAAAACATGCCTCATAGTTTTCAAGGACCCACTATGTGTTTGGCACAGTTCTAGGTGGTGGAGATTCAGACATGAACAAGATTGCTGCCTACATGTAACATAATATACTCTTGTAGGGGGCAAGGGAGACAATAAACAATCAGAAAATAAATGTATACGGTTAAGTAGTGAAAACTGCTGTGCAGAAAAATATAGCAGGATAAGGGGAAAGAAGGTGCCAGTTTTTTTTTTCTTTTTTATTGAGTTTATTGGTACTTTTTAAGTATACAGTACCATTACATTCATCATTGGGATCTTATACCTTTACATGACAGATCTTGGTTCTCATTTTTCCCCCATACCCCTTCCCTCCCTTAGGGTGCCAGTTTTAGGTAATGATAAGATAAAGATTTTAAAAAACACTTAAGTTCCATAGAGAAACCAAAGACCACTAAGGTATTTGCTAAGGGAATAGTTATCTCTTAACACTCGTCTTGTCTACTGACACTCAGCAATATGTATGTATATATATATAT